GTTTGAGTTGCTGCAGTGGTTATTGGCGGTGATTGGAGAGGAGGTTTCAATTGGTTGAGGTCTGGCGGGCGGTTAAGGAAAAGTTGCCGCCCGCCAGAAGGCGAAGAGCACCAAGAGCTTAACTTGGCTCTGATACCATGTAAAAAATAAATTGATGTATTATTGATTGATATCTTGATGTTATATTACAAATCAGAGTGGCTCATTATATAGGAGAGGGTTTGGGTAGTAGGTGAGGAGTAGGTGAGGGTAAATTGGTGGTAGGTGGAGTGTAGTAGGTGAGTGTGAATGGTAAATTCTAACAGTTCTACTCTCATTTGTCGTCCTCATATATAGCTTTTGTGTCAAATATTTCCTATGTTAGCATTCCTAATCATTTTTAGGATGCTCTTGCTATCTTTGAGTGGAAACTTGCCATGATTGAGGAAATGAAAGCACTTAGGAAGAATGACACTTGAGAATTGACTGAGTTACCTAAGGGCAAACGACCTGTGGAATGCAAATGGTTATATACTGTGAAACACAAAGCATATAGGTCTATTGAGCTTTACAAGGCTAGACTTGTGGCAAAAGGGTTCACTCAGACATATAGCGTTGACTATTTGGAGACCTTTGAACCCGTGGCTTAGATGAATTCAGTTGAAGTATTTCTCTCTCTAGCAGCTAATCTAGATTGACCACTTCATCAATTTGATGTAAATAATGCCTTTCTCTATGGTGACCTCGAAGAAGAGGTATATATGGATATTCCTTATGGTTTTGAGCCTCATTAGACAGGGGGTAAAGTATGTTGGTTTCGGAAATCGTTATGTGGTCTCAAACAGTCTCCAAGGGTTTAGTTTGAGAGATTCACTCAGACTATGCTTAAATATGGCTTCAAATAGAGTCAAACAGATCACACCTTGTTTGTGAAACATTCCTCACGTGGTAAGACTACAGCGCTCATTGTTTATGTGGATGACATAGTTCTTACAGTTGATGATAGTGAAGAAATACCTCTGTTGAAGAAATATTTAGCAAGTGAATTTGAAATCAAAGACTTGGGGGAGCTTGAAGTATTTTCTGGAAATTGAAGTTGCTCGCTCTAAGGATGAGATATTTATCTCACAGAGGAAGTATGTGCCTGATCTATTGAAGGAAACTGGGATGCTTGGCTGCAAGGCTTGTGACCCTCCACTGGAACCTAATCAGAAACTGGGAATGGTGAAGGAGGAGCAACTATTGATAGAGGGAGCTATTAGCGTTTAGTGGATAAGCTCATCTACCTATCTCTCTCTCGTCCTGATATTGCTGTTGCTATCAATGTGGTTAGCCAGTTTATGCATGCTCCTCATCAGATTCACTTTGAGGCTGTCATAAGAATTTTGAAATACTTGAAGTATGCTCTTGGTAAGGATCTTTATTTTTCAAAGCATAATCATTTTCGTGTGGAAGTCTATACAAATGCTAACTGGACTAGATCAGTAACTGATAGGACATCGACTTTAGGGTATTAGATCTTTGTTAGAGGCAACCTAGTTACTTGGAGGAGTAAGAAACAGAATGTGGTTGCCAAATCAAGTGCAGAAGCTAAGTTTAGAGTTATGTTACAAGAGGTGTGTGAGCTCTTATGGATCAAGTTATTGTTGAGTGATTTAGGTATTGATCAGACGGACTCCATGCGGTTATACAATAATAATAAGGCCACCATCAAGATCGCTTACAATCCAGTTCAACATGACAAGAGAAAGCATGTTGAGATTGATTGCCGCTTCATTAAGGAGAAACTCACTAGCGGCACAATATGTATATTCCATTTGTGTAGTCTGGTGAACAACTCGCTGACATCCTCACCAAAGAAGTTGGGAGTAAGCCATTACATGACATTCTAGGCAAGTTGGGCATGAGAGATATCTTCTCACCAGCTTGAGGAGGAGTGTTAGAATAATATATTATTGGTTGAGTTATTATTCTATTGTAATTATTTTATGCCTTAGGGCTTCCTTGTAATTATTAATCTTCATTAATAAAAAAAGGGAATGATATCACAATCATACCCTAACCTTTTTCTCTCTAAACTTACAATTACGTGTGACATCAAAAGAATACACAACTTGATTCTCATAGATAGTAATGGTTTGTGAAAGTGCTCTATTTGTTAAGCCACCAATTTCCTCAAAAACTCTGTTAGGAAATGGGCCAAACAACGTATATCAAGCTATTTAACATCCTCCCTCACGTGCAGCTCTGTCTTGCATGTGGAGACAAACAGAGCCAAACAGGTGGAGTTTGTTTCTTTCCAAAAAATAAATTTAATTGTTGGTTGGCAGTACTTGCATAACCATGGCAGAGGTTCTTTCTCTTTTATTTTTAATTTGTTTGTCTTTTTCGCTTTTGGTTCTGAATTTTGGGTTTCAATTCAATCATTACATGGCTTTGGGAAGATTTTGGTTGCTGCTCCCTTGGGATGCATTGCTGGTTCCTCAATCACTCCGGTGGCGAGAAATGTCCTTGCATTGTGGATCAGGACTGATCATATTCATTGAATTTGTGTTGAAATGTCTTGGTAACAAAAAGAAAATATGGTGACAGTGACGAACTAGAAGAACTGAAGAAGATGGCAGCAGCGAAACCTAATGGAGTGGATGTTTGGATGCCAATGATGGATGAAAAGCAATGGTATTGGTCTGGGTTTAATCATATATGTATACATATAATGTTCACTTGTGTGTGTGTATATACAGAGTCAGAGGTGTTGCTGCTGATGGACAGGGGACGGAGGTGGAGGTAGAGAGGATTATTGTGGTGGGCCACTCTGAAGTGGTTGTTTGGCTCAACTGTGTCTGTGTGTATATATTTATGAAGAGATGGAATGGGTTGTGTTGACAATAATGGGCACATAGATGGTGGATTGTTTATTGATGGTTGTAGCAGGGGAGGTGTTGGACTGGTGTTTGGTGATTGTTTGGAAGTGTTTGGTCACAATGATAAAGAAAGAGGTGGAAGAATGGTGACATCTAATCGTGGTAGAATTATAATTTTGTATGAGGGAAGAAGTGTAAAATTACATTGTCTGTTAATACCCGTTAACTGAAAACTGTGACTGCAGAGGTCTGTAATTTCAGAAATCACGAGGGAGGTCCTTGTAACTGTTAGAAACCTTAATGAGACTGGTTACCTACTGCCAGTGAATTTATCCACTCCGGATATTAGTAACAAGATCTTAGGCATATTTTTAATGTGGAGATTGATGTAGGTTACCACCATGTTGGTTGGTTCTCCTTTAACCAGTTGATGGAGCAGAGATATTTTATGAAAGGCCTTCACCAGCCTACGCGTATTTAGATATCAGTTGAAATGCATAGGTGGCTGCCTCAACCTGAATCCATAGATATGCATGACAATAGAGGGGTAATCAGTCTCTAATCCTTTGGATATGTTCATTTTGCAAAATCATGCTAAGTCACCAATTTTCCCAAAAGCCTAAACTATTAGGAAATGGGCCCAACAATGTATATGAGGGGTAATAAGCCTCTAATCCTTTCGATATGTGCGTAAAATCAAGTCACCAATTTTCCCAAAAGCCTAAGCTATTAGGAAATGGGCCCAACAATGTATATCAAGCTATCTAACACTCTTCCTCACATTCAACCCATTTTTCACATGGAGAGACAAACAGAGAAGAAAACAACCAAACGAGGACAGAATACCAAATACCAACAGAGAGACTTAAACCCAAGTCCTCTCTCAACCAGAGCTCTATGTGAGAATAATATTAGTATATATATTATGTGAATATTGTTTCCTATTTATATATTATGTGAATTTTATTCTCACACTCTAATACCATGTTAAGTCACCAATTTCCCCAAAAGCCTAAGCTATTAGGAAATGGGCCCAATAATGTATATCAAGCTATTTAACAAATCACCCCCATTTTTTTTCTCCTAACTGATTTGATGTAGAAAGTATACCTGTGTCTTTGTATATAGATATACGTGGCCATCTCTTATTCACTATGTTTGTTCTATTCAAGCATTATTCCACTCCATGATAGGATCAAGGAGAAGGGATTGTTCCAGCTGCTACCTTCGAGTAAATATATTGGAGATATGATTACAATAGTATCTGTGGATACCAGATACAAATGGGAGGTCCTTCATGAGTCTATTCATTTTCAACTTTGCATCTTGTTGGAATCATTGCCTAATGAAGTTTGACGTCAGAAGATCCCTTCTACACCTTGTTTCCTCACATTGGATTTATCTTCTACACTAGATGCTCATACTGAACCTACTAAAAAAGAAAATGATTGTACCTAGTGCACAAGGTTCTCACTTACACAGGCTAATTCTCGTTATTCAAACCCATGCCATGAGGCCAGGTGGATAGAACTATCATCATGCCAGGCCCAGATCACGACCTCTTACTAAAAACAAAAGGTCATGTTGCTAAATGTAAAACTTTTGTTTTGTAGAGATGGTGACTTAGATATTCATGCATTTCTCTCGCGCAAAGAAGCAGGTGAACACGCTACTTTTGGTCGTAACCACTGTAAGGAGATTTTTTGGGCTTCTAAGGAAAAGGCTTGGGTGCAAATGAAAAGCTCATTTGACATCTTTCTCCATGCACCCTCATTTGGACCAATAAGAAAGGAAAAAATATTGGAGCTTGTAGGAGTTTACTCTGAATTTTATTGGGTACTTGAAGTGAGTTACTTTTCTTATTTGTCCAAGAAATACTTTCTCTCTGCTGAATCTAGGTAAGTAGATTGTATGACCTGTGCAAATTTTCTGCCAACAACTTTGGCATTTTGTTTGTTTTGAGATTGTGCTTATAGATTTGTCAGTACCTTTAAATGTTGATCTCTCATTTTCTTTGTTTTTTCTGGTGGACAATTTACCTGCTTATTAATTAATTTAGCCGCTCAAAAAAATATGTAGTTATTTTAATATTAACTGTTAGTCATTTGGATTACTTTTCTTCTCTATTGCTTTTTATGATTATTTAAATGTATGTAGATTAATTTGGATGAATTTGATGACCTTTGCAATGCCATCGCACTACAATTTCAAAAGGAGGATTCAGTAAGTTGCATTCAACTAGATCTGAAATATAAACAACACATTATACAATTTTAGTAATTAAAAATAGCTTTTACTTTGCATCTTTGACAATGTGTTTTTTGTTTGCAGCCATCTTGTTTCGAAAAATTTCCAACAGTCTACCATTCGCCTTTATCTGAAAATCTAAATGCCTTTGTTCGAAGTCCCAAGTTTGAATACTTAGTAGTCTTCATTCTCATCTTGAATCTGGCTGCTGTTATTGTTGAAACAACGGTATGTGTTAAATACATAGAATGGGAGATTTAGTATTGTAATTTGATGACCATTTAAATTTTTTTATTCAGAATACTTGAATTTTACAAATTCAAGCTAACCTGTAGTTCACTTTGAGAATACTGTGTTCATATTAAGTACATGGATATACTTGCATTTCCTCAACTTTAATTAGATGCCATTTTATCAAGCTCTTGTATTGTTATACTGAGATAATTTACTTCTTCAATTCTGAATGTTTGAAATACATAAAAAATATTCAGTGTTGTTGATAAATGTTTGTTGGTTGTGTTCTCTTTCTTGTTCTCAGCTGCATTTTTTCCTCCAGAATAAAAAAATAAAAGAAGAAAACTAAATGGAAAACTTATAATAAGATAAGGAACCCAACAGCAAAGACTTCTAATCAATCGGCCAATCTTCTCATTGATCAAAACCAAGCGGATCTTGAAAATAAGTGTCTGAGGACATACATAAAGGTTTTTGCCCGAGGAAACAAGTTAAATTATCCCCCTGACAACATTGCTCGTGAGTTAAGTGTTTCAGGTAGCTAGTTTATGTTTATCAAATGGATTTAGCCCATGTTAATATGCTGAAACCTTTTCAGCCAACCCGTCATGGACTAAGCAGCCCAAATACTTTTAAAAAGGTGGTGTGTCCATGTCGGACACTTACGGTCACATGTCAGATACACATTCAAATTGTCCATCGCTTTGATATACAGGGAACACATTACAAACCATGTATATTTATGAAAATTAATCTGTAGTCCTTTAAATTTCAGAAATTAGTGTTATGTTGTATTTTTTTTATTCTTTTATTGGAATATTCATGTATATTATGAAGTAAATATATAAAACTATACATTTTGCATGTGTCCTCCACGTGTCATGTCTCACATCTTTTGAACATTTTCGTGTCAGTGTGTTTATATTGTGTCCATGTCCGTGAGTGTCTTACCACTGTAACTAGGACAACACCTAGTCAAGTTTAGTAGCCTTGTGTCTGTTGATAGAATTTATTTCCTCCATATCCTGGTCAATTAATTTGTTTGAGAGTGGCCTATTCACCTCCCTCTTGGCAGAAGCTTGTACACCCTTGCAATTTCAAGTAATTAGTATGATTCTTTATAGCGCTGATTAGTTAGACCAGACAAATGAATGTCGATAATTATAAGTGGTTGGAATTGAGGTCAGTCGAGTCCAGCTAAGTTGAGCACGCACTATTAATGGAGAGCTTTGTAGTTTTTTGAATTCTTACATGGTCTTGATTTCTTTATAGTGAAGTATGCTAATATTCTATGTTGCCTGTGTTGCAGCTTGATATAGAGAATAATTCTGCTCAAAAGATTTGGCAAAAGGTAGAGTTTGTTTTTGGTAAGTGCTTTACTCTCTAACCTTTTAAGACATTCACTCTACCAATGATCTATTTTCTTAATGCATAAGTATGCACAGAAATGGCATGTACGAATGACTCATGCCCTTTAGTGCTACCCTGCTATTTACATATTTCTTCCTTCTTGTTGGAAATAAAAGAAATGGTGTTGAATCTATCAATTTCCTAATCCTAGACGTCAAGGTTTTTTAAAATTGCAATCTGCAACTACCAAATCCAAAGGAACCAATGAAATGACATCGTTGGAGTATAAAATTTTATGCATGCATCGCAATATTTGGAAATGCATTGGTTATTTATAAGCTTGATTTTGACACCCACTAGGAGGGGAAAATATTAAATATATATATATATATTACATGTTGATGAATGAAGTTGGGGGAACTGCAAATTAGTACAAGGAAGAAAATAATTATAAATTCATGGAGGTGCAAGTTAGAGTTGTGTTTTAGGTCACAGTTTTTACTTGCACTAGAGCACGGACTCACTTGCACCTCCATAAATGTATAACTATTTTTTCCCCTTCCCATTGATGTGAAATTCCCCTAATAAAGGTCACACTTGTAATTCACCAAGTTATGATAATGATTTAAAATTGACAAGGTAGATGGACATTGAAACCTAGATAAAATTCTGGAGGAATTATGTAACTTTGAGTCTAACTCACTATGGATGGTGATAATGATAGTCTTGTTGGTGTGAAAATTATTGTCATGTAAAGTAAAAGGGTGGATACTGATATGTATATATAATTGGAATGTATAATGAAGCAATTTAGGGTTAGGGTTTCGGAGGAATAAGAAGAGATAAGAGAAAAGAGAGAGAATTTTATATATCTGGAATGAATCTATAAATTACATTAGCCAAAATATATATACAAACCCTAATATAGTGATATGACCATCGTACCCTCTACTTAAGTAAATATTAATAGAAGAACTATAAAATAGAAACTAAGAACTATCCTAACATTTCCCCTCAAGCTGGAGTATAGAGATCAAACATGCCCAGTTTGGCAGATAAACGATGAAACGAAGATCGAGCCAAAAGCTTAGTAAGAATATCACTCAATTGATCTTCAGAATGAATGTAAAGAGTCACAATTTGCTTGCGGAATAAGAGATCACGAATGAAATGGCAATCAACTTTGATATATTTGGTTCGTTCATGAAACATGGCATTGTTGGCAATGAAGATAGCCACCTGATTATCACAAGACATGCATTGAACCCAGAGCATCTCAGAAGCAGTATGAGTCATGGCACGATACTCGGCCTCAACAACAGTCTGTTTCTTGCTACGCCAAGTAACAAGATTATCACCAACAAAGGAATAATGGCTGGAGGTGGAATGGTAATTAGTCTTATTACTAGCCCAATCAGTATCATTGAAACCGATTACAGATAATAAGGAAGAGGGGCGATAGAGCAAACCCCGACCGGGGGCATGCTTCTAGTACCGCAAGATACGACACAACAGCAAAATGAGGTTGGCGGAGAGCATGCATAAACTGACTAACCACTCTTACGGCACACGTAATATTGGGATGAGTGATAGTGAGATAAATTAACTTTCCAACCAACCGATGATAACGACCAATATTACGAAACAAGTCTCTGGTGTTACCATCAAGTTTTACACTAAAATCCATGGGAGTATCACTAGGATGAGTGCCTAAGAGGTCAGTCTCAGTGAGAAGATCAACAACATATTTCCATTGGGAGAGAAATATGCCCTGAGAAGAGCGAGCAACTTCAATGCCAAGAAAATACCGAAAATGACCCAAGTCTTTGGTGTGATATTGTTGTCCCAAATACCGCTTCAAATCAACAATACCAGTGGAATCACTCTCAGAAATGATGATGTCATCGACATAGACAATACGGACAATACGAACAATACTCCCAGTAAACGAGTGGTGAACAAAGACAGAGTGATCAAAGGTGGAACGGCTAAAACCATAGACAATCACAACGGCACTGAAATGATCAAACCAGGCACGAGGGGACTACTTGAGACCATACAAAGCCTTCTGCAATTGACAAACAAGATGCTCATGACCGGAAACAACATAGCCAGGGGGGCTGAGCCATATAGACCTCCTCGTGGAGATCCCTATGAAGAAAGGAATTCTTGATATCAAGTTGATATAAAGGCCAAGACTTACTAACGGCAACAGAGAGAAGGATCCGAACGGAGTTAAGATGAGCCACAGGAGAGAAAGTCTTCGGGTAATCGACACCATAGGTTTGTGTGTAGCTTTTGGCTACCAAGTGAGCCTTAAGTTGCTCAATAGTCCCATCAGGAAGATAATAGTATAAATCCAACGACAACCCACAACAAATTTGGCAAAAGGTAGAGAGGTAAGTTCCCATGTCTAATTTTGATGAAGGGCATGCATTTCCTCATCCATGACATGCTTCCGACCAGAGATGGACATAGCTTGCTGAGATGAATGAGGAATGGAAATACTAGACAAGCTACAAGCAAAGGAGTGAAGACCAGGAGAGTGACAAGCATAAGAAACAAAATTAGCAATAGGATGGTGAGTGCAACTACATTTGCCTTTGCGAAGAGCAATAGGACGATCATCAGAGGGTATAGCAGCAGAAGGAATAGGGGAGGCAGGAACCTCAAACGCAGGAGATGAATTGGTCGGGCTATAAGACACAATGCGACGAGCTTGAGACCTCTAATAAACCTGCAAATGAGGGGTAGAGGCGATACTAGAGGGAGAAGATATAGAAGAAGAGGGAGAAGACAGAAGATATACAATAGGGAAGAGTAAGGGTGAGGGAGGTAGGCTCCCCCCACGACAAGACAGAAGATCAGTGGATAACTGATGCCAAGAGGATGAGAAAAAAGGAGTGGACTGAAAAGAGGTAACATCAGCACTAACAAAGTATCGACGTGACTTAGGATGATAATACCGATACCCTTTCTGAGTACGAGAGTAGCCTAAGAACACACACTTGCGAGCACGAGGAGATAACTTATCCAAACCGGAGCCAAGAACATGGACAAAGGCAAGACAGCCAAAAACTCGAGGTGACAAGAGAAAAGGAGACGATGTGGGATATAATTGATCATATGGAGATGTGTGGACAACACTAGAGGGTATGCGGGTTAATAAGAAAACAAGCAGTGAGAACCACATTACCCCAAAACTGTTTAGGGGCATGCATATTAAACATCAGTGGCGAGCAGCATCTCACAAATGACGGTATTTTCACTTTGCAATACTATTTTGAGGAGATGAGAACAACTAGTCTGATGAATAATACCACGATCATCACAAAAGGTAATCACAATAGACTGCACATATTCTAAGGCATTAGTAGACCGAAATATCTTAATACGTTTTCCAAATTGAGTAAAGACTTCATTATAAAACTTAGAAATGATAGAAGGCAAATCAGGGCGCTGTTTTATTAAAAATAACCAAGTCATCCATGAGTAATCATTCACAAAAATAACAAAATAGAAAAAAACCATTAACAGTGGAAGTTCTAGAAGGACCCCAGATATCTGTATGGACAAGAGCAAACGACTCAGACACACGACAAGCACTACGACGAGGAAAAGAACTATGGTGATGCTTTCCAAGTTAACAGGCTTCACACTCGAGTTTAGAGACATGACTCAAATTAGGAACAACTAATTTGAGCTTGGCTGAAGAGGGATGACCCAAGTGAAAATGCCACTAAAGAGGAGATATAGTAGCGCTCAACACAATAGATGGAGGAGGAGAAGTCTCAGTGTCTAAAAAGTATAAGTCATTCTTCTCATGTTCCGAACCAATCATCCTCTGGGACTCTGGAGGTCCTGTAAAACACATGAAGTGGGAGAAAAGGTTATGAAACAATGGAGAGCTTGAGTCAATTGGCTAACAGAAAGGAAATTAAATGGAAACTTAGGAACATAAAGACCAAATGGTGAAGAAAGGGATGAAGTGGGATGAAGAGGACTTGACCACTAACAGGTTGAGAAGAGTCATCAGCAAGTATAATAATATGATCAACAAGCCGAAGAGTATCAAAAAGAGAGGAATTACCAAAGACATGGGAACTACCACCAAAGTCTAGAAGCCAAGACTGAGTAGACTGGGCCACACATGCAACATTACCTGAACTAGCCATAGTAGCAGTAGAGGATGAAGGCAAACTAGGCCGAAGAGACTGGACAAGAGCGGTAAGCTCACTAATTTGAGTAGTGAGAGTCTCATGAGAATCAACTGGAGAAGCAGCAGAACCGATGGAAAACAAGGGTGACTGTGAGGATGGATCATCCATAACCTGATGCATATGATCAGGTTTGCCATGTTTCTACCAACGCCAAGGTTCAATATGACCTTGGGAACCACAACGAGTACACTTGTGATCACCACGTGTGTGAGAACCAGGTCCACTATTACTGCCTCCACGAGAACTACCACTACAGGAACCACCTCTACGAGAACCCTAGGGACCAAAATAAGAACCTCGTGAACTAGAAGAGCCATAAAAACCCTTGCGAGTAGACCCTCGATCACTACTACTAGAGACCAAAGCAAAAGAAGCCAATGTAGAGGACCCAGATGGGGGTTGGGATTGGCCCAAAGAAAACGTAACAGCCGAGAATAGGCATTTGCAACAGATGGTAAAGTCTCATTGACAAGAATTTGATCCTTGAACCCCCTTAATTTAGGATCTAAGTCGGAAAGTAAGGAAGCCATCATAAATTCTTCCCAATGTTACTTCTATTTATTCACATCAATAGTGAAAGACTGATGCTGCAATAACTAATCCCATAAGATCTTGAGACTACTATAATACTCGGGAAGTGATCGGCTAGATTGGCGCATATCAAAAATCTACTTATATAACTCATAAACCCGAGAGACATTACTCTGATCCAAAAAAGATTTAGCCAGGGAGTCCCAAATTTTCTTAGAACACAAAATTCCACGGTAGTAGCAACATGTGGTTCTAGACTATGCCAAATCCAACCCATAACATAGGAATCCTCACTTAGCCAATCATCGTAGCCTTTATCATCCTCAAAAGGTGGAAGTTCAGTAAGAAACCGTGACTTCTTCCTGCTACTTAAGAAAATCTTAACCGCATGAGCCCAAGCTAGATAATTTAAACCATTTAATTTCTTAGTGGTAATTGACTTGGATATTTCATCATCCTTAATTATAGAGGATTGAGAAGCAAGTCTTGGTTCAACCATAGTACCAAAGGAAGATGGAAGAGCAACCACAAATTTAAACAGAGCAGAAAGAAGCAACCAACACAGCAACAAGAATAGCCCAACAACAATCAAGCCAAAAAACTCTTAACAATGGAACATCAACACATAACCAAACACCAAACCCAACAACAAGAATAGTCCAAGAATAGATTTCCAAGTTAAAGAATCAATCCAGAGAGAAGACTTCCTATTTGTCGAACAGGGAAATGCTGAATTGACACAATAAACTCCAAAAAAATGCACCACCAACTCTCAAAACAACAATCAAGGATAATGAGGCAACCATTTTCGGCTCCCATAGAAGGCAATCCAATAGGTAGAAATCGCAGATAACTCACAGAATCACAGAACAAAAAAATGACACCAAATAATTCGAAAATCATTCAAAAATACAAAACTTACAACAGATGGTCCCAAAAAATTCTGAACATATCACCATTAACCTCAGGAAAGAGAGGCGATCTAGTAGGTAGCAACTCGTCCGTACGGACTATGACATCATGCTGACATCATCATTCGAAAGATGACGTCAGTACGTCGTTTTCGCCTCAGAAGAACTTTGAGAGGCTGATAACCACTAGACAAGGATGGATTGCTACTCTGATACCAAATTGGAATGTATAATTAAGCAATTTAGGGTTAAGGTTTAGGAGGAAGAAGAAGAGATAAGAGATAAGAGAGAATTTTATATATCTGGAATGAATCTATTGATTACATTTGCCAAAATATATATACAAACCTTAACATAGTGATATGACTATCGTACCCTCAACTCAAGTAAATATTAACAGAAGAACTATAAAATAGAAACTAAGAACTATCCTAACATATATATATATATATATAAATTAGCTCCTCTTTCCCCCCCACCTCCCGGTATGATAACTTGGAGTCATACCCACTATGCCTAAATAACTTATTTGACTACCATAAATTATAATATAGATAATTTTGTATTATTCAGTCACCAATTTTTCCAAAAACTTCAGTTGTTAGGAAATGGATTATCTATAACAAACTATCCAACCCTCCCTCACACGCAACACTATCTTGCATGTGAAGATGCAAACATCCATACATGGAGAGAAGAAATAATCCAAACTATAGAAGAAAGAATGCAAATGAGGACCAAATGCCGACAAAAAGACTTGAACCTAAGACCTCCCCCATCCTAATCTTTGATAAAATGGCCCAACAATGTATTATGCGTTTGATGGTTTCATTTTTACATTGGCTTATTTTTTTTGCCATATTGTTGTTTTAATATTTTTTTTTCCTTTCTTTGTTGCGTTGGCTTTGTTTTATTTATTAAGAGTTGATGATCAGCATTTTGTTTCTTAGGTTGGTTATATGTCATAGAAATGGCACTAAAAATCTATGCGTATGGATTTGAGAACTATTGGAGGGATGGTCAAAATCGTTTTGATTTCATTATCACATGGGTTATAGGTAAGTGCTGACAACTATTTAATCCCATTATTAATGTGTCATTTTTTTGTTACATTTTTATATAGTTACATATATTTATATATGTCAGCTTTTCATGTAAAAAGTACATACATATTGAAATTGTGCAATTTGTATGGAAAATTGTGCAGCAACTACATTGAACCTTTACCTACAGTTTAGACCTTGACCTTGGTTGGTCCACAAGTTGACCTTCACAGTGTAAATTGGGTTTTTATCAGATAATCAAGGCCTTTAGGTTTAGTCCATGGGGTTTAGAAATCCGCGGCGTGACATTCTGCCCCTCATTTCCTGATTGAGTTTCTGGGCCAAAACTAAGTTTAACATGATATGGATGTCAGTACGCACATTAAAATGGAAAATATATCTCAGTTCAAGTTGATATTTCTGATTTCCACCTCTAAAATATATCTCAGGGTTATCTCAGTCTCACCCATAAGAACTTTAAAAAATGGAAGCTTTAAAAATGTTATTATAAACATATAGATGTAATACAGGAAGGAAAAATTATCAACTGATCGGCATGGAGGAATTTGTGGCTGAGGTGCAAAATTTTCTGAAATGAACTGACTGATTATTTCTTGAGTTTTCATACTGCAGGTGCTTTTTGCTTTTTCTACAGCCTACTGGTTGCTGCTCTTGGGACTGGGAGAAGGGGAATTGCCCCAGCTCTCTTATTCAATGAATTTACATTAAAATAAAATAAAATAAATAACATAGTAAAGAAGAGCAGCACTATAGTCACCTGCATGGAAAATATTTGTGTAAGTGCATATAATGCATAGGATTCTAAAAACACCCAGTACCAACAAAGATGGGTTACATGCTCAAGTTTCTTTACATGTTTAACCCAAAAAATATAATGCTGCATAGGCCTTCTTTTACCACGAGAACAACATGGGAAAGACCATGCTGTCATTCCCTGGGAATTAGAAAGCAATCTTTCATAGTTTTATTTATTTATATATATGCATTAGTGTTAGAATTTACCATCACCTACCACACACTTACCATCACCTACCACACACTCACCTACTACACTCACCTACTCCTCACCTACCACCACCTAACCTACATCTATATAATCAATCAATTGTAACAGAATCAATAAATCAATTAATACATAATTCATTCTCTCTGTATCTCTCTCTATCAATTTATCTTACAATTAGGTTTTCATTTATTTATGAATTGCTTGTTGAATTTTTTTTGTTTTAGTACTTTTTACTTCATGCATTAAGGGCAGCCACTTCATGCAAATTATGTCAAAGGTTAGGTTTACCCAATCTATCCCTTCCAGACCTCATTCAATGGGACTAAATTGGGCGTACCTTTTTGTACTTTTGCTTTATGCAATTGCTCATTGAGTTTTTCAGTGTAGTACTGTTTATTGGCCCTTGCATCAAATACACTATAACATTGCATCAAGTATGCTTCATTTCCTTTATAATTTAACAGTATTTTTCTATTGTGCCTTGCATGGGAATCTTTGTTAGTTATGCACTGTATTTATCTAATGAATACTCCCGTTTTTCCAGTTATTGGAGAAACAGCAACTTTCTTGGACCCCGATGGACTGACTTTTCTTTCAAATGGGGAATGGTAAGGACCATAGTTGTCAAATCGGGATACGAATCGTGTATTTTATTCATTTATTTATTTATTTTCTAAATCACGTATTGTATCGTATCGTGTATTGTAAGATACTATAAGTCCTTTAATAATGGGTAGAAAATTAATATCGTTATGAAAAACAAATATATTGTGAGAACAACACACTTAGCTGTTGGAATGTATCCCACATCGCCTAGAGTTGCTCCATCTATATTGGTTATAAGGCTTCAGTTTCCCTCTCCTTAAAGTACTTGGGTTTTAAGGAGAAATATGAGTTGGGCTTTTCAATTTGGTATCAGAGTTTTGGTTGGGCTTGTGATTGGTGTGCCATTTGTCCGGCTACTGTATGTTGTGGTCCAGGAGGATGTGTTGGAATGTGTCCCACATCGCCTAGAGTTGCCTCATTTGTACCGATTATAAGGTTTTAGTTTTCCTCTTCTTAATATCTGCAAAGTTCCCTAAATTAAATATATACATGCATCAATACACATTGTCTCACAAGACATAAATCAATAATGCAAGATACTTAATACCATAAAATATAATAGATATGTCAAAAAGCTTGAGAAGTAAAATAAAAATACCATTCTCATATCAAAAAATACTTTTATTTACTAAGTTAATGAATTTTTTTGACAATATTTATTTACATAAAATAATTTGATAAGTTTTTTTTTTAAAAAAAAAAAAATTGGCTGAAGAAATTTTCGTACTAAAGTAAAATATGTATTGCATTATGTATCACGTGTCGTATATCGCATCATGTATCATATATGTATCATAAGATACATTTAATTTAAGATACGTATTGATGATAGTATCGATTTACCTTTGAAGAGTATCGAATTGTAAGATATTGACAAACATTGGTAAGGACATATGAACTGTGGAATTTTGTGATTACTATGAATCTGGTGCATAATCAGATTTGCAAATAATTGTATGCATATTATGAATCTTGTGCATAATCACATTCATGAACATTCACTTAGCTGTTGGAATGTATCGCACATCACCTAGAGTTGCTCCATCTGTATTGGTTATAAGGCTTCAATTTCCCTCTCCTTAAAATACTTGAGTTTTAAGGAGAAATGTGAACTGGGCTTTTCAATTTGGTATCAGAGCTTTGGTTGGGCTTGTGATTGGTGTGCCGTTTGTCCGGCTACTGTATGTTGTGGTCCAGGAGGATGTGTTGGAATGTGTCCCACATCGCCTAGAGTTGCCCCATTTGTACTAGTTATAAGGTTCCAGTTTCCCTTAAGGAGAATGTGGGATGGACTTTTCAATTGTAGGCAGGTCAATTCTAAATAACAAAGCGAATGAATACCTTTGTCAGTAGTTTCAAATGAAACTAAAATCATGAACATTCAGCTCAGATAAATTCACAGATGAGAGACAACAAAGATGAATTAAAGAAATAAATTTATATATGTAGTGTTTATAAGACAAAAAGAATAGTTATAGACTACCACCTGCAGCAATTCTCTACAGATATCCACAGTAAGAAAACCCATGCTGAAAAACCTTTCTGCGGAGAGTAACTGGAACACTGGTAACACAATCTCATATAACTTCAAAGCCAGAGGGTTTGTATCTTCAACTGGAGAGTCACCACCAAATTTGACTTTAGCAGAACCCAGGCATATCAAATGTTTATGAAGGGTTGGATCTTGTCCCTGAAATAGAACAAGTAGAGCAAAGCCCCACAGAAATTGAAATTCTTCTGGGTTCAATTGAACCATGCTGTATCCAGACATGAAGGTATTATTTGAGTTATTCTCAATTGTTTGGGAAGATAGATTCATGTCAAAATGCACAGGAACTGCATCCAGTGCAACTGCCTGTAAGATTACAGGCCAGGCTTCTTCTAAACAAGGCTGCAACTTTGTTGAAACCAGAGGTGATTGAATTCCATCAAGGAATGGTTTCCACTGCAAACAGGTCACAGAAAACAAAATAACTATGGACAGAGGAAACAATTACAACATTTCCACATGTTTATGCTTACATTTAAAAGATGGAAGAAGGAAGACACAACGACAATACTAACAGGTTTCACAAATAATAAGCTTACTTTTTGTTTAAGATGCAATCTGAAGCAGACATAACTGTAGTCCTTTAAAATTGAGATCCAGTACTTCCCCAGTACACTTGAACTTTCTGAAAATAATGGTAATTGAGCTAGATACTCATCTGGAACCCCATCATGTTTTTTCCTCAAGAAGGCATATGTATAACATTTGAGAGAGGCATGGGCGGTTAAAAGTCTTATTTTGATCTAGTCAACAAAAAAGAATAGTATTAGTAAATATAAAAAATAAAAAAACAACTCACCATCATATGTACATACATAGATATATCAATATAAATGTATATTATACGTGTAAAACTGTGAGCCACATAATATCCTCTTCTGCTCCTTCGATGAACTTGGCTATTGCTGAAAGTTCACTTCAACAAAAAATAGAAAACACAACAGATCCACCAATTGGCCTTCTTAGGGCAAGTTTGGGAAGTTTCAATAATAGTCAAAAAGTCAATAAAAAAGCCAAAAGGCCGAAGAACTATATAAAAAAGTCACAAATTCCATTTCCACTCTACTTTTTGCACATTTTTTTTTAATGTAAAAATCCAAAAAATCATCCCAAGCATACTAATTTTTTTCACCTCTTATTTTAGCCAAAAAGTTACTAAAATAGCCTATATTCCCAAACCAACCCTTAATTTACATTGAATAATTTGGAGCAGATCCACCAATTGGCCTTCTTCATTTCATTGAACAATTTGGAGAATAGTGAAATGATATACCTTGCATGATACCCATTCTGCAAATGATGGATAGTAAAGATCCTCAAAGTTGTTCAGTGGATGTGATATCAATGAAAATATTCTCTTAACTGCAATTTGATCTCCACTAATTATCCCATTCGTTAGTATCTGAAATTTTTACAAGATATACCCCATCATTAATATGCAAAATTTAATTAGAATATATCAAAGATATATATTCATTTTTATTCTGAAACCTTTGTAGCCAACTGCAAGCCTGCCTCCAAAAGAATAGGGCCAGAGGACGTGCCTAATGCAGTGCATACAGCAGATACTAGTTGGGCCTAAAAATGGTACAAAATTAATTTAGTACAAATCTATAAAAGAAAAAAATAACTATGAAAACACATATACATATTTTGTAAAACCATTCCCTGAAGTTGCATTAAATAAGAAACATGTTTCAGCAATGAAAAATTTATATCCTTGAAATGGAAGGAAGAGTGAAGGAAACCAAATTTGTCATTATCACTAAATTATAAAATAATAAAGATTCCAAACATAGTGAATAATAAATATCGACCATTTTCCCCACCTATCCTTCGTTTCTCAAAAACTTTCAATCCAAAGATAGTGTAAGAGAAACTACTAATAAAAATTAGCCCAAAATCATCTCCAATTCTTTTATAAAACTACAAATTTGTCATTATCACTAAATTATAAAATAATAAATTATTCAATATTCTATCGTTATCATCAAGAAATATTACTAACGGTGTGAATTTAGTAATCATTACAAGAATTCAGAAAAAACCCATCTGAAATTTGTCAAAGAGAACAGCCAGTTAACATCCACTATTACACTCACTTATGAACAGCCAGTTAACATCCACTATTACACTCACTTATGAACAGCCAGTTAACATCCACTATTACACTCACTTATGAACAGCCAGTTAACATCCACTATTACACTCACTTATGAACAGCCAGTTAACATCCACTATTACACTCACTTATGAACAGCCAGTTAACATCCACTATTACACTTTCTACAGTGAAGCACCCATTAGAACTATCAATGAGAACACCTATACCCCCTATGTATCATGTTATCAAATTCCACCAACACTTGTATGACACCAATAAATATTAATAAAAACCCAACCAAACACCATACTACAACACTCACGCCAATCCCCAATCAATACAAATATGAGCATGGATTAAAATAAATCAAGTAAACAAGGAAGGAAAATGGTGAAATGCATATGCAAGCTAGTGATTCCACTCGAAACTCAAATGGTGTGATGACTCGCATTTCTGTAATCCACTTGAAACATTCAGGTTTGCTGTAATCAATCAGAAAAAATACTTCAAATCTCCATCAATACATTTATTCCTTAGCATAAGAGATCAAGCCTCTACATAGAAAAAACCCCTAAATCTAGGACAAAAATCAAAACACATTTACTCATTTCATAGAAATCAACATTCTACAGCATCAAAAAACAAAATAAAAACCCTAGAGCTAGAGAGAAATAGAGAAATAGAGAGAGAGAGATAAAAAACCTGGAGCTAGAGTGAAATAGGGAAATAGAGAGAGAGAGAACAAAATAAAAAACCTGGAGCTAGAGTGAAATAGGGAAATAGAGAGAGAGAGAACAAAATAAAAAACCTGGAGCTAGAGTGAAATAGGGAAATAGAGAGAGAGAGAACAAAATAAAAAACCTGGAGCTAGAGTGAAATAGGGAAATAGAGAGAGAGAGAACAAAATAAAAAACCTGGAGCTAGAGTGAAATAGGGAAATAGAGAGAGAGAGAACAAAATAAAAAACCTGGAGCTAGAGTGAAATAGGGAAATAGAGAGAGAGAGAACAAAATAAAAAACCTGGAGCTAGAGTGAAATAGGGAAATAGAGAGAGAGAGAACAAAATAAAAAACCTGGAGCTAGAGTGAAATAGGGAGAGAGAGAGAAAGAGAGAGAGAGACCTGAATCAAAATCGATTGGAGGCTGGACGGTGTACCGACCGTGGCGATGAGACGGTGAGACACAGTGAGGAACGGTGATCACTGTCGATGAGAGGGACGATGAGCGATGGGCAATGGTCAGTTGATAAGAGGGAGAGCGATTGGGGATAGAAGAAGGAGAGCAAACGACGGCCTGTTTGTTTTTTGCCATCACAGTACACGAAATCTTATCATCCGTCGCCGCTCGCC